TTTATTTGTAATTTTATATTCTTTTTTAAAGGAGGCCCTCCAAATTATATAAGCTTCAAGCCTCAAAATACGTTTCTCCTTCTGCTAAATTGATCTTCCATATATTCCCACTTAACAAAAATATTTCTCAAGCTTTACTTTCAATGGTCTTTATTAGAAAAACAATTTATATTTTATATATCTAATAATATCACAATATTAAATATATTTTTAAAATTTCCTAAGCCCTTGGGTATTCTGATCTGATCTTTTGGGGAATTGCAATAGCCTAACCAAGTTGATTTCTCAGGGCCCTTCTAGTTCTGATGACCTATGATTTTAGGCAGCCAGACGAATCAGCAAACACATTCGTGGCCAGGAATGGCGTAGGAGTGGGGAGACAGGCAGCATTCCTCAATAAAAGTTGAAAAATAGAAACTCAGCTTTCAGTTACTTTTTAATTGGACTTTATTTATGGGAAAAGCAAAGAACTTGGAGGGAGTGGGTGCTCTCGGTCTCTAAGGAAGGGGTAAGAGGCGTGGTGAGTAATAATAGAATAGAAGAGGTATAGGAGAAGAGGGTGAATGGGAGCCATCCTGACTGTTTCCGGCTCAAATAGTTTTTCAATGTATTTGAAGGGATGCTTTTCAAGATGTCAGAATGTTAGGAGCATTTCTTATTTAGTAAGAACAAAAATCCCAAGAATGTATAGGCAGGGATCCTTGTACTTTTTAGGTCATAGAGCTCTTGGAGATTCTGATGAATACCAGGGACGCTCTCCCCAGAAAATATACGTGGACACATGTACACATTTTCATAGATGATTTCAGAGGTTCTCAGACCCTCTCAAGCCCATCCATGCACCTCTGGTTAAGAAGCCCTGACACAGAGAAAGCCATATAATCCCATCCACCTCCCTCCTAAATGGATTGGTTTCGGCTTGGTAGTCATCCATCCATTTACCATTCATTTATTCATCTTCCATTCATACGTACATAAATCATCCAACCATTCACACCTTCCTCATGTATTTGTTTATATAGTGGAAGACATGCCAATCATGGTGGCTCTACTCATAACCTCTTCTTTGGGACCCTACCCTCCAAAGTCCACCTGATTGGGCTAGGTAAGGGCACGTGACCAAAGTCAGCCCATCAAATCCTCTGTCTCAGGCATCTGCAATGAAGGCACTGAGAAACTGAGCCAATCGGATGATGGTGATCTCTTGAATTTTGAAAAGGCATATAGAAAAGTTTGGGAGAACTAGAAATTAACCACTTGCAGAGAGAGCCAGGAAAATGGGGTAAATATGAAGAGAGACATAGAAATGGAGAGAGGCCTACTGCTCTTCCCTTCCCTCTCAGGTTTCTCTGAACTTCCTACTTTTGAGCTCCGTGAGTCCCCTGAACCCTTCTACTAACTCCTTTAAATTTTAGCTCATATAGTGAACTGCTGATCCTTGAAAGCAGAATCCTGGACTAAGGTCCTCACCCAAAGTGCCAGGCGCTTCACCTATGCTAGTCATCTCAATCCTCACAAGTGGATGAGGTGAGTACCATTATTATCCCCATTTACAAGTGAAGACGCCAAGGCTCAGAGACCTCGGAGACCCATTGCACTTACAATAAACTTTCAGATCCTTACCATCTTCCACACACCTATATACTCTGATCCTTAACGGCTTCTCCACTTTCATCTCCTACCAGACTCTCACTCATAGTACTCCAGTCACATTGAATTTTCTTCTGGGTCTCAAGTTCCCCAAACTCAGTCCCTCCTCAGGACCTTTGCACTTGCTGTTCTCTCAGCCTGCAACAAACATACTTCCCTGAGTCAAAGCTGGCTCCTTCCTGCCTTGCAGCTCAAATATCACCTTTGCAGAGAGGCCTTTTCCGACCACCTCAAGGAAACCGGCATCTTCTCTCCCTAGCCGCTATCAAGTACCCCATATTTTATAGCACTTAGCACAATCTGAAAGACTTTTTTTACTTGTTTATTGTCTGCCCACCACACGTTCCCAGAGAACAGAGCTCTTGTCTGTTCCCCTCACACTCTTCCCAGTGCCGGGAATTCTGTTTGGCACACACTAGGAAGTAAAGAAATACTTGTTGAAGAAATAAACTTGCCCAAGTCAAACAGCTAGTTAATGATCCAGGCAAAACGCAAAGGTTTATCTGACGCCAGAGGCCTTACTCTTCTCAACCTATTAGTTACTTCTCATTGTTAAGTCTTGATAAAGGTTTTAGCCAGGAGGTTATAAAAGAGTGGTTCATAATTAGAAATCTATAAACCTAGATTATATGAGAGGGAAATAAACAATGCAGGCAAAGGAGGAGAACCATCTGTTTCTGATTATTTCATATAAAATAAAATTTATGTCAGAAAGTCTGGAGACATACTTCATTTTACCTAATCGTTTCTTCTTAAAATTTGTGTAGAAATTGATGGGTTTTTCTTTTTCAGCTAAAATTCTATTTTAAAAGCACCAGGGAACTTGTTATTTACATGTAGCCTGAAGGAAATCCTTTTACACAGCAAATAATCTTGCCTTAATTTGCGTTTTATAAGTTGAGTTTTCTGCACCACAGGTTTTTTTTTGTTGTTTTTTAACGAGTTCTAATATGATGCAATTTTCATAGCTGGTTGAGCTTGTTAGGTCGGCTTTGCCTTTGGTTTAAAGATGCATTTCCAATGCAATCACATAGGTGTCTGGTGCTCTCTATACAAACATGTCCTCTGAGATTCAATTAAGCAGAGAATTGGTACTTCAGATTAAAGAGGTAAAACCCAGAGGCACAGACTCAGAATATGGCCCCGCTGGGTTCTCTGATCCCAGACATGTTTCTCTGATTCCCTTGCACCCTTTCACACGCCTTGTTCAAACATCCTTATCACCTTGGGTTCCTGTGGATTCCAGGGCTTCCTATTTGTTTGGGAATGCTATGCGAACGGCCCCTCTAGGGGCCAGAAGAGAAATGGACCATTCCTTTCAGTGAGGTCACACCAAGAACACAAAAATGTTAAAAGCTTCTTCCATCTACTTACACATGGAAAGCTGTTCTTTCCTGGATTTGCAAAGATATGTTGAATGTCTCCGCCAGTCATGGTCCCAGTAGCCAGTCATACTCCATCTGCTTCGTAATGTAGAGGAGGGCTAGAGGCCGTCTTTAAATAGCCCGACGAGGGTAAAACACCTCGTCGTTTTACCTCCACTCAGGGCTAAGTGCTCGGGCTATTGCTGGTTATTTCCATGATTTCACTTGACCTCTCTGGGCCTCAGTTTTTTCACCTGTAAAATGAGGAGATCTGGGCCAGATTGTCAAGGGCCCACCAGTCCAAGCTTTCTCTGATCATAATTATTCAGCATTCTTCCCTGAAATATTTGGAAATGAGTATTCTTTACCTCTAAGAGGCCAAAGCTCCTTTTTCCCACCCAAATTTGTGGCACTCTAAGTGAATTAACCCAGAGATGGTGTGGAAATGGCTCGGCGCTGCCTTTCCCTAGAATAAGAGGGTCAGGGCACATATGTGTGACAGTTGGCTGCTGTGACTTGGTGTGGAGCAGGGCCGAGGTGTGGGGCCTGCTTGGCTCCTCGGTTTAGCCTCATGCTTACAAGCCTCCACCCCCAGCTCTGATTATTCTATTTGTGAAATGGGGGTAGGAAGGGGAGAAGGAAAGTTTGCACTAAGCATTTTAAGTTGTTTTTACATTACAAAAGCAATGAAGACATAGAAAATTTGGGAAATAGATATTAGAAAAAAAGTCAGTCATCCAGCATTTCATCTTTCTAATTCAATTACTATTAATTATTATTTTGGTCTTTCTCTATTTTTATTTGTATGATTTTCCCAGTAGCTATGTAAGATATGTCCTGTTTTGGGGGAATTTTTTGTTTTTTTTAACTTAATATTGTCATAAAATTTTACAGGTTGCTTCATGATCTTTGCAATCATCACAGATAATGATGCATATTTCTTTTGCCATTCCATTTGTCTGTTGGTTTGTTCTTGGATATTAAAGACAATTTTTTCTTTTATTATTTATAAATATATGGCTACATTACATCTTTTTGCATATATATATCTATATATATACACACACACATATATGTTGTATATAGGTATGCATGTTTCTAAGGGAATATATTCTCAAGAATAGAAATACTACTTCACAGGATTTCATCATTTTCATAGCTTTTGCTACTTGTTGTCAAATTGCTTTCCAAAAGGGCTGCACTAATTTACAATGCCATCAGCAATTACCCATTTTGCTGCATCTTAACCAGAATTGGTTATTGTCATTTAAATTTTTTGGAGATTTAATAGGCAAAGTCGTGCCTAATTGTTTTCATTTGCATGTCATTGATTAACTGAGGAAGCTAATCATTTTTCCATATTTTTAAATTCCTCCCTCTTCATAGGACCAGAAGATTTTTGGAGACCCTTCTAGCCCCATCCTCCAACATTTCAAGGCTGGGAGCCCCTAAGAAAGCGGAGGGAGAGCATAAGATTACAGGAATCAGACCTGAGACTATAAGGAGATGTAAATGACAGTGTTAAGCGTTTACCAGACGGATGCAGAGAGGAACAACTGTAATAGTTAACTAAAGATACCTAAGGAGGGATTCTGGCTAAACCTAAAAGGGATATTCTCCCTTCTGTGGGATTTCGGCAGCTCCATTTATGTGCAATGGAAATAATGCAGTTGCTTTCTCTTCTGCCATTAAAAAGAGCAAATAAGAATTCGTTCCTGAAATAAAAGGTAGAATAGTGTTGGTATTATTCACATGGGGACCTTGTTTTAAGGCTGGTTTTAGGAATTGAGCCTGATACCTTTCTTCAAGACAGATATGAGATAGCAGGTTTTTTCTATATCTAGTTGGTATGTTTAAGGTACTTGCATTGATCTCTTTAGTAACAACTGGCTTAATCAAAAGATTAATGAAAACCTGTCGCCTTGAAACCACTGGAGGCTTACGAGCTGCAAGAGGGACACTTCATCTTTCCTCCAATATACTTACTTCAGTTGTTCCCATGTCTCCTCACCAAATTTCTCTATCACCAGAGATTGCACATAGGTGTTGATAATTCCATACTAGAACACAAAAGGAGAGGGAAAACGCGGGTAATGAAGCCTGAAACCCCCAGTCATCGACATCTGAATGGTCTCAGAAAAAGTGCAAGGACATCCTCTTGGGGAAACGAATGATACCTTTTCCCTGTTTCTTGTGAGTTTACTTGTTTAATGGCTGTGCTCATTCCTGACTCAGGGAAAAGTCATTGCCACAGAGAAAACACATGTGCTAAACTTGAAATCAGATTAGAATTAGAAGAGGTTCATTGTAATCATCTCCGAATTAGGGAATTGTTGGGTTAGAACAAAGAGTTGAAAAAACACAACAGTGGCAAAGGGGGTGTTTAGAGGTGGGGGTGAGGAAGGGCACTCACCAAATGTCAATTCCAAAAAGGCAGCAAAAGGACAATTTTCTTTATAAAAATGAATCTAGGGATGGGTGTGTTTATGTCCTCTACATAAAAAGTGGAGGAAAATAAAGGAAGAAAAAAACCAAGAAGAAAGCACTAGGATTAGCAAAAAGAACTTTCTACTACGTTTGCTCATTAATCTGTGATTTCCTTTCTTTCCTCCTTCAGATTAAAAAAAATCTAAAAATAAAAAAAGAGAGTCCACAAACGCCTCTGCTTAGCGAAGGGCGGTACGAGCCGTCCAGGTCACCCCACTCCCCACAGCGCGGGACTCCGAACCTGGGGGCTTGCGGCGATTGCATTCTGTTTGAAAGCACCAAAGGAGCTCAGTTTTAAAAAGATATCTTCATAAAGTGAGGACTCCTTCTGTCTCACCAATATCAGCCTCAAGGTTTATCTCATAAGTTTGGATTTTCATGGATGGCGATTTCTTAAAGCGGAAGAGCCAAAGGCCAATGGGAAAGAGAGAGATCTAAACCCTACCAGCTCTTTTCTGGGAACACAACGGATTTCCAGTTCCCCTGAGGGCAGGTTGTCTTCCCTTCCTCCTCTTTTCCTGGCTTTACCCGCCCCACGTGGGACCCATTTACAAGATGGCACCCTAGCCTGGCGTTCAAAGCACTCTCTAGAACTGTCTTAATTTACTTTTCCATTGTCGCCTACTCCCGCTGCCTTAGGCTCACCCAGGATGCCTCCATCCTTCTCCAAACACAGATGGCACTTCTCTGATACTGTGTCCTCCTCCCTTTTTTTTAATTGAAGTATAATTGACGTACAGTATCGTATTAGTTTCAGGTGTCCATCATAGTGATTCCATACTCCTTTGCTCCGTCAGCCTGTGGCAAGTCTCAGCTCCACTGCTACCGTGTCTCTGGAATCTTCTCTACTCCCTCCACTGGACACTGGCTGGCCTGCCCTGTGTCCCGGACTCACTTTTCCACCTCTATGTGTCCTCATCACCACAGGATTGTTTTGTTAAAATATCACATGCACACACATATTTTCTATCTATCTATCATCTATCTATCTATCATCTATCATCTACCTCTCTCTCTCTCTCTATTTATCTGTCTCTATCTCTGTCCACACATGCACCCATACTCACACACATAAAAACATATGAGTGTGTATGTATGTGTATATACATATATATTATTTTTACACATAAAATTTTTTCCCGCTCCTCTGCTAAATTACAAGCTCCTCAGGGTCAGGAAGTAGCTGTAATTTATCTATATTTTGACTAAAGTGCCAAGACAGTGCCTGACACATAGCAGGTACTTAGTAAATTCTTATTGAATAAATAAATACTCACTTGAAGCCTCAAGTCTGAACTCACGAAAATCTTTCAATACCTCCAGACATTTAAAACCAATCAACGATAACAAAGATAGCAATTGTTTATCCCGGCAATTTTTGCAGACGAGCACCGAGTCAGATGAAAACATCATGGCCACGGCCAAAGCCCCGAGTGACTAGTGACACCCTCCTAGTGTGTGACAAAGGAAACCGAGGCACAGGGGACCCAGCAGTCTGCTGCTGGGTTATGACCACATGGGATAACGTACCTCAGTTTGATGGATTTAGGGTCAGTGAGAGATGCGGTCCAGCACTCGGTCTATGGTGTTCACAGGCCCCAAAGCCGGTGGCATAGCTAATTGTTGGGGGGCCCCGAGCATACAGGTCAGAGAGCAGCCCCCTCACCCTCTGCTGATGATCAATATGCTTTCTCCTGGGTGCTGAGATCAGGGGACTTTCTCTGCCCCTGGAGAGAGCAAAAAGAAGCAACTGATGGGCTGGTCCTGCATAATTGGTCCAGCGCATGCCAGGGGCCTTTTGTGTTAGCTTCTCACACACCAGGTCACAGGGATTCTCCCTATGACACGCCGTACACACTGCAGGGCCTGGGTGAGATGGGCAAGAATGACCAACCCCCAGGCTCTCTAACACTTGGGAACTAGCGCTGTTAAACCAGTTAGATCATCAAGCAGGTAGGGACTCTCATTGGTGGGTGGCACCCAAATCTTTGGGGGACCACTTGAGTAGCAGCTGTGGCACCCCTGAGGAACATCAGTCTTCAAAAAAAACAACGTGTTTCTGTTTTTAAAAAGTCCCAAAATGTTAAAGGTTAGCTAAATCTTTCTCTTGTAAAGATGACTTTGCACATTTCCTTATCCAATCCTTCTCACTGCGTCTGCCATCCGTTGGGGGATGGGACTCCATAATGTAAGACAGCCTCAGTGAGCTCAGAGAGGGGATATGGCTTCGAGGAAATAACCTGGGCTCTGGAGCCAGACAGGTTTCTGTCTCTGTGCCTTAAAGCTGTGTGGCTTTGGGTAAATGACCTAACCTCTCTGAGCCCAGTCTGCTCATGAGCTAAATTGGAAATACTAGTGCTTACTCTGTTGCACTCTGTTGGAGGACTGTTGTTGGGGTCACAGAGTAACAGTTCTGGAGTCAGACTACGCGGGTTGATTGCTGACCCCATATATTACAGCTGTTTGACCCTGGCCCTTCACTAACTCACATTCATCTTCCTTATTTCATCTGGAAAATGGGGATGAGAATGGTCCCTTCCTCACAAGATTGTGTGAAGGCTTAAATGAGATCATAGGTATGAGACACTTGGCACAGGGCAAGTGCTCAGGAAATGACAGCTATTCTTCTTAGATAATGTGCATCTTCATTAATAGGTGCCCAACTATTAAGAGGATGCTGAGGGCTGCTTACCATGCTGCCACAGCGGAGCAGTCGTAGTGGAGCAACGAGCTCCTGACGGCCCTGTCAGCCCGCAGTCATTCAGGAGAACCCCTGGCGTCTGCACAAGGCTGTCTTGTAGAGGTCTGGGCGGTCCAGTGGGAAATCAGGAGCTGATCACCGGCCTCCAGGCAAGGAGCTAACTGTTGAGCCTTTAGTTGCCCTGGGAGTAAAAAGTAAGGCGCCCCCAGATGGGACCTGCTGCCAGGCGCCCCAGGGATGCACATGGTCAGTGCTAAACCCTCGGGGGTTCAACCTGAAACCCGAACTTCTCCCCGAGGTGCAGCACCATCCTGCCAGTGTGGAGCCCCAGGGCCTGGAGCCAGCAGAGACCCGCAGAGCACTGGGGGAGCTGGCGGCCCCGCCAGTCTGCTACCCTTGTGTAGGAGAAGGCGGGGAGGATGAGCACATCCTGATCATGCTGGACCCTGGGGCTTGTCGTCGCTTCCCACTTAACCTCCCTGCAAATTGAGAAGCTCACTATGCTCCCTCTCCCGCTCGATTCCTCCTCAGAGGGGTTGGCGTCTGAATCTCCGTGAAGCATTCTTTCCTAGGTTGGCTCAAGGGTGAGGCCAGGATTCCGGGAACCTGGCAGGCTTTCAAAAAGTCATTCGTCCTTTCATTTGACAGATGGCTGTTGGTCACCTACCTGTGTGATGGCACCATGATGAGCACCTGGGGAGTGTAGAGGCTGAGGGTGTCGGCTGTGCGCCCAAGTGGCCGGTCACAGGGCACCTGGCCCCAGAGCACTCCTAGAACCCTGACCTTGACTTTGAAGATGCCCCTGGGATCCGGCTGGAAGACTGCCTTGTAGATGAGATTGCCTACGGAGGGGTCTTTTTAGTTTTTCTTTAATTAAACCTCCTTGGATGTGGTCCAAGAATGGCCTGCCTTAACCAGAACTTGACTCTATAATATTATTATGTGAAATTCCTCGGTGCCTTAAAGCCTTCCCTTATACCCCCTCACAGCTCCATTTCAGGCTCTGGTAGGCTATTTGCTGGAGGTCTATTTCCTGACTATTGTGATCAGAGGCCAGAAACCCAGCCACTAACCAGGTCCCACGCATGTTGTCTGCAGCAGTTCCGACAGACGTGCCAGCTTTGATGTAAGAACAAAAGTAAAAATAAATAAATACAATAAAATCCAGGGCTTAGGTAAGCCCTCGAGACTGCAGTGCTCTTCGGAGACGTAGGACAGCCACATGGCTGTGACTCATGGGCAAGGCAGCATCCCGTGGACCTGATAATGCTGGAGACGGAGGTGTTCCCCTGAAATGAACGTCCACACACCTGACATACCCTCCTTAAAGACAAAGCACCTTTATCTTTGTATCCCCAACACCCGACACACCCAGTAAAACTCCAAACAATTTGCTGAAAGATTTCTTCCTTCTCAATAGGCACTCCTGCACCGCCCCCATTCAGATCCCTCTCCCATCTTGCCTCCCTCTCTGTCTGCACATCCCCTTAGAAAGCCCTCTTTGCCCCTCCATCCATTAAGCCTTTTTGGCTCCCTTGTCTGCTACCCTCCTGTCTTACGTGGACTGCCCCCTCCATGAAGAGACCTACTACTCGGAAAGAGTGGTACTTGTTTAAGCCCCCTTCCTCCTTTCTGAAATGGAGACTTTGCTTATTCTCAAAAGCTGGCGCCTCTTGTGCTGTTCCTATGTGGAAGGAACATGTGGTCAGGAGGAGAAAAAAGGCTCTGGAATAGTGATTTCCATAATTATGCTTCCCAAGCCTTCGCCACCATTCAGCTGACAGTCTTCTTTCTCCCCTGCCAAGTGGGCTTGCTCTGGCTCTCTCTTATACACACCCCCCCAGCCCCTAACCCTGCTCTTTCAAACACACCAGCACTCTCACATTTCACAATAAGTAAATGGTTAAAAAAAAAAAAAAAAACTCCATTTTCTTTCTCGTGCAGCAGATGGCAGGTCTCAGGAACGTGGTGGAAATGAGGCTTTCTGATTTTCTAATAAATTTCAGCATCTCACACAAAAAGCACAAGCTCATTTTGATTCTGATGTTAAGTACCATATGGCATATCATTCGTGGGCCGTGGTAGCCCCATCCTCAGGGTGACAAGGAAGGGGGGATCTTTCCTAGAACAACGAGACTGAGCTGGTATGGACCAATTGGATTCCTCGGTGAATACCATTTGATAATAATATTGTATATGGCAGTGGAGCAATTATCCCTCTTTTATGGTATGTGTTAATTTTCCCTGCCAGTTTTCCTAATTACAACTGCCACCCAAGGGAGTACTTTTTGTAAATACTCTGTAAACATTTGAAAAGACATAGGCAGTGTGTGCACGAGCAAAAACGTCCCTGGATTTTGAAACTGTCTAGAAAATTGGCTGACGTTTTATATATTTTTCAATGGCATAGACAGCCAGTGAGGATCTTGCAGTATATGGAAATTCCCTTCTCTTGCCCATGACATGATGGGCCTTCCTGCCCATTCTGAGATCGTTGTTCTGAGGGACATTTTTCACTGTTACCTTTATCGATCTTCAGTGTGCAGTTTCGTGAATTTTGACAAATGTCTACCCCTGTGTAACTCACACCCTAATAAATAGAGCATCTCCATCACCACAGAAAGTTCCTTCTGGCCCTTTCTACGTCAGCAACCTCCCAACAGCTGTTCTGATGACCATCTCTAAAGCTTAGTTTCACTTGCTCTTGAACTTCATATGAATCGAATCATACAGTATGTTCTCTTCTGTGTCTGGCTTCTCAACTTTTAACCCATGGTTGGTGCATTGAAGAGTCAAACATCATTCCCCAAATTTGACATAATTCTGTAAACACAGACATATTTCCTATGATAAGGGGCAAGGGCGAGATGCCAGAGGGAGGTCACTAGAGCAAATCTCTATAGTTTGAGGAAAGAAATGAGAGGGAGAGTGCAAGCAAAGAGTATCAGGGAAGAAAATATTCTCTGATAAAACATAACCACTATCTGGTTGGTTTGTTGCATTTCTCGAACCGTGGCTGCTGTACTCTCGGTGGGGACCCCTAGCGTCAATATGGGGCTCCCAGTCCACCCCAGGCTTCCCAGCCTCAGAGCTGCAACTGGCTTCCTAGCCGGGCCTAAAGCAGCAGGACCACGAGGTGGGATGTGGCCCAACTGCGGGGCTCCCAGAGGCCCTTCTGATCAGAACTATCCCCCACGTGGGCCTGTCCGCTGTCTGAAATTCTCACTGCTTTTGACTGCAGCTGTGAAAATTTCTGCCAAAATGAAAACAGCGTCTCTTCCTTTGGCTGATGAGATCAGCTAGTATTCACCTGGCTTGCTAAGAGCGAAGGAGACATAGAAGAGATCAACTTGGATGTGTGTGCATCAGAGAGCTGAGAGAGAGATCAGTCCAAGGTGCCGAGTGCTCTCGGAGAGGCGGCCTCTGCACGGACAGCAAAGGGAGGCCCTGGACCGTGGAGGAGAGATGAAAGTGAGTTCAACTCTACGCACATGGCAGGGGGTACCGGGTGGACTTGATCTTCTCCCTTCAGGGGACTCATATCTCATTGAAAGATGGCTCGTGGTACGGATGACATGGCTAAAGGCAGAACTGTGATCTGGAGCCAGATTGCTTTCAGGCACAGTGTCATATTTGGAACTTCAGCACACAGAACAACAGGGTCACCTATCAGTAAGAATCTTCAGGAAAAAATTTCCAGAAGACAGGGCGGTTTATTTTCTAAATGTTCATCGTAAGTGCTTGTTGTCCTCTTGTCACACTAGCTGTGATGATAACAGCTCACTTCCACCAAGCCTCACCGTGGGCCCAGCCCAAAGCACCGAGGATGGACCACATGAAATTGCCGCTCTTGTAGGTCAAAGACTGCTAAATATTGGCAATTTCATCTGGTTCCGCTTCATATTAATTCACTCTTCCCACAGTCCTATAAGGTAGGTTCTATTACCAATCACCCTCTTTAAAGAGGACAACATCGAGGTACAGAGAGTTAAGTAGCTTCCTTCGGGTGCCAAAACTAGTTAGTGACAGGGCTGGTATTCAAACTCCGGCCCACGTCTTATGTAGCCTCCAAGAAAAGGATAAAAACGGTGGGTAATAACCCCTCCCTTTTTTCTGGAAGAAGCTGAGGCCTGTCTTGTGTCAGGTGGTTATCTTCAGAAAAATCTCTTTTTCCAGGAAAGTCAAAACTCTGGCTCAGGTGGGTCCACTTTTTTTCACCCCCCTCGCTGGCAGATGACCTTTTACGTTGTACGCAGAACTGGTGCAATGTGACAAAAGAATCCTGAAAAATGGTCTCTGAATGGAGACCTCCGGGTCCTTTGATTTCAAACCAGAGCCTTCCCCTTAGTTCTGAGGAACCCAGAAAGAATTGAGGCTTTTCCTAAGGTGTGGCAACCAGTTAATGGACCCAGCTCACCTCGCCATCCCTAATAGTCGCACGCTCGGTGGCGATGGTTGTATCTGTGTCATTCTGAGAAGACGGCATGCCTTTTTCTCTTTCGGTTTGAATTTCAAATCTTCAGCGATACATAGAGGACCTGCGGAATTGCTAAGCGTGAAGCGCCACCGTGTGGCCAAATGACCACATACCAACAGGCTGCTGTGTAATTAATTCCTCCACCAGAAGCGAAGCGGTGTTATGTGGCTTTGATGAGGCCCACAAATCCTCATCAGGTGGAGAAACGCGGCTCAGAGCACTGGGCTCAGGTTTGAGTCCTTCCTCTGGGAGTGGTACCCAGGGTCTGAATTAATCATGAAAAACTCATTCTTCTTCCCCAAGTAGTAATTCCCTTCAGTGTAAAATGGGGCTATGATCTTCAGGGGTGGCCGCCCAGGTATGGCAAAGTGAAGACACAGGTGCCTTTACACGTTACATACAGGAACCAGGCAGGACTGGAGATGAGGAGTCCTAGGATGGCTGTGGCCCTCCCAGGAGGGCTCATTTAAGACGGAATTCAGCAACCTTCAAATCTAACCTAATTGCGACTTTCGTTTAATTTTGGGAAAAGCTGCAAAGAAATCAGGAGATCTGGGGGCCATATGTGGAGGAGGCGTGACAATAAAGGATTATCACATTGTAACCAACTGACCATAACTTGCATATCGATGCTTTTCAAGAGCCCATGTTCATATTGATTGTGCGCTTGCTGTGTGCCGGCCTCTGTACTGAGTGCTCGACGTGCACTATCATGTTAGGTGCTCATAATGCCCCATGAAGCAGACGCTCGTGCTTGGCTGTGCTGGACCGTTTTATGACTGGACACAGGCTGAGAGCGGTTGAGTAGCACCCCAAGGCCACGAGTGGAGGGGCTGAGATTCCAGCCAGACCTCTGACCACAGAGCCCCCTCTTCACCTCACGTTGGTTCAGTGCTGTCTTCTTCCAGTTTTTTTCAGGAGGCTGTAGTTTCTCCAATTATGTCCAAAACATTTTAGGATTTCTCTTTTACAGTTATTTTCAGAGTTTGTGGCAAAATTTTTGACTATTCTAGGTGATGGCAAATCATCATCCTTCATATGACAATAGTTAACAGTTCCTACAGACCAGATATTAAACAGGTATAAATCATGTAATCCTCAGCATAACACTGTAGGTTAAGAACTATCATCATCATGCCCAAGTCACATTTGAGAAATAGGAGGCGTAGATAGTCTACGTCACCTGCCCACATTTGCACAGCCTGGGCTCCAGGGTCTGCAGAGGGCCGCCAGGTGACAGTGGGTAGTTTGCTCATTGGATGAGGAGCCGTGAGGAGCCTGAAGCACACCCCACCCTCATCTGATGCGGGCCAGAGGCCACCTAGGGGAAGGGATGCCTAAGTCACTGCCGCTGCCTGCAGGGTCCCGGCGAGCCTGGTCCACTACACTCCACTGCCTCTCAGGAGGGCTTGAGTTTTAGAAACAGCGGAAAGGGGCCGGCCCGTGGCTTAGCGGTTAAGTGCGTGCGCTCCGCTGCTGGCGGCCCTGGTTCAGATCCCGGGCGCGCACCGACGCACCACTTCTCCGGCCATGCTGAGGCCGCGTCCCATGTACAGCAACTAGAAGGATGTGCATCTATGACATACAACTATCTACTGGGGCTTTGGGGGGAAAAATAAATAAATAAAAAATTAAAAAAAAAAACAAGAAACAGCGGAAAGCAATCTGGAGCTGGGTCTTGTGGTTAGGTCGGTGAACTCTCGGTGTAGACAATACCATTGTGAAACCAAATCAAGACTGCTTTCCTCCCCTGGAGTGGCACATCCCTGCGGGCCTGCACCCCTCCCCCTCCCACTACCTGTGCTCCATCTTCCAACCTTAGAGCATTTTCTGCACCTACTTAGCCTGCTTCTCCTCACACTGCCATGCTCCTTCTCTTCCTAGGTGCTAAATGTTGGGGTACCCGGGCCTGGCCCTCCACCTCCCTCTCCTCTTAGAGCTCCCCTCAGTACCTAGGGAGCACATCTCCCCAGGGCTTCAGATGCCATGTCTATGCAGGCTGCTCCCAGTTCTCTGCTTCTAGATCCAACCGCTCCCCTGAGCTCGATAGATGTCTAATTTCCCACCTGACAGCCCCCCCTTGGAAGTCTATAGAAAGCTCCAAGTTAATGCATCCAAAATAGAACTTTCGATTTCCCTCCACCCCCACAAACACCCCTGCTAACCAGCCCCTCCCTTACTCAATTCAATAAATGGTACCTCCGGCT